CTGATAAGTGCGGGTGGTTTGTAATGTAAGGCTGAAACCTGAAAAGTAGCATGTTTTCACATTAAATGTCAAACCCCTGAAGCAATAGCAGTTTAATGCCTCCTCTTTTCCTGTAATCATGTACACCTCGGGCTGTGTCGCGTTTAATTGTATTTCATTACTTCACACTCCATGTTCATCACACAATCCAAGCACAAAGAAAAACAATTCAGCCAAACCAGTCTCTTGTCTTGATCTTAAATGATTCAGAGTCTGAGCGTTTTTCATGTACGGTGTCTCATTTGACCTGATCTCTATCAACCAAATGATTTAAATAACATTAGGTTGTACAAGCACTAAAGTTATCTAAGTGCCTTAAGAATTTGTGTCTGTAATTTAGCCATCATTGTTGTCATGTTTTCAAGAGAAGCCGCTTCCAGCACACTTATTTCAGCTTTACTGCAGGACTCTTTTTGCCATTGAGATGACTGAGAAAGTGTGCCTGAATTCAAAGAAAGACATTGCAGATATCACATAAATAGTGACTACAATGTTCTACTATTAGTCAACTGTATAGTTAGCACCAGTGTTGGGTAAGTTACTCTAAAAAAGTAATTAACTAGTTACTAATTACCTCTTCAACAATGTAATTAGATTACTGTACTAATTACTCTCTCTAAAAAGTATTTAATTACTTTTAATTACTAATTACTTTCAAAATCCCATATCAGTCTCAACCAGCTGAATAATACAAGGATAGACATGAATCTGTTTTACATTTTTTTAATGAATTATCCTTAAACAGACCAAGGTGGAGAAGGTTACATTATAAAAACATAATTTTTAACATCAGACAATACATTTTGATGTTAAACCCACTATTGTTTTATGTCTGATCTCATGACATTTCACACTTTTTTCATATATATTTTACAATAATTCATACGAATTTGTACGAGTGCGGTCATACAATTTAGACACCTCATAAAATGCATACGAATCGCTGTGAGATCGGATTGATCTATACACAGTATTTACCTCAATTACATTGATTACATCAGTAATTAAATTACAGATAAATGAAGAGTAATCCCTTACTTTACATTTTCAAGGAAAAAGTAATTAAATTACAGTAACTAATTACTTAGTAATTAGTTACACCCAACACTGGTTAGCACTAGTTTCACCAAATAGTAAAAAAGGGATTTGAACAGATCTAGCTCTGATTACTCACCAGAGGAGTTTTGCAGTTTAATTATTTCAGTTTAGTTATGATCAAACAGAAGAATGGCCCATCCACATTCACCTATTATAACATGAAACAAATTGCTAATGTATTAAACATAAACCGTCATCATTCATCACATTAACATCCTCACACAAACGCCATAGTATATGGTAAACTGACTTCTCATTATTTTGTATCGTTACATTTTTTTATTAGAGCAAAATGTCTGAACTAAGAACGAAGTAGTTTTTACGCACCTTTTTTTCATATTATTATTATTAATCAACAGCATTGGAGAGTTTAGTTGATTGATTTCTCAGAATTTTTTATGTTCAATTCATTTAATTTCATCTTGTCTAAAATTTGTGACTGACAAATGTGGAAAAATATTAGAATGTTCGATAAAAAAGCTGGTCTTTAATAACATTCTCAAAATGTTCTCACAGCGGTATGTTAAGGGGTAACATAAGGACCTGAAGATCTGGAGTCAGAATTATAATAAAATTATTATTATTTTTTTTTACAGAAGGTAATTTGCAGTTTCATCAGCAGAAGTTTAGCTTCAAGACTCGGACACTGGAGTTCGTAGGCCGCCCGTTCTATACGTCCTTTCTTCAGGTTGAATGATTCTCATTGGCTAAGAAATATATAAACATAGTAATTTTCCACCCATAGACAGATAGACAGAAGCATATCTCCATGGATTATGCAGCTGACACTCGGACCCTGAAGTTAGGCGTCGTGACCTTCCAGGTCGCAGATTTGGGTTGCTGGGCGCCAGCCTGTCCTGAACAACAACTCAGTCAATCTCCAATAATGGCAGCGGTTCCTTAACCTGTAACCTGAATGACTAACACACACACCGACACAGGTTTTCCAAGGTTGGAATTGGTCAGGCTCTCACTGTAAACGAGATCGTCCTCTCAAAACATCAAGATATTGCGTTCTTTCTCTTAAGGAGAGCTACACTTTAGTCTTACTGAGAGAAATGGTCCCTTAAACTATTGACTTCAATGACCCCTTTATGTTTTAACACGTTGAAGACCTTTTTTAAAAACAATAAGTCCAGATATCAAAATACAGACATTAAAGAATTCATAAAAAGTAATCACACTGGTAACTTAACAACGTAAAATCTCCAGAGAACCCATTTGATATTTAAGGAAACATTGATTTATAATCACTCATGACACATACATTGAAGCAGCAGTGCATTCCAGAATCCACCCCTTCAGTTATTTATACATCATTCATGGAAATCATGCTTTTATTATGAATCATTTTAGTTGGACGTTCAATGTTTTTCAAGCATTACTTGTTTCAAAACGTTCAGAGAACATTCTAAAGTAACATTCTCATAATTGTTTGCACTAAAATTGTAAAATGGAATGTTAATGTTTTCACTAACATTCGCATAAACAAGAGAAGTTATCGACATGTTCTTGAAGGAGTAGTTCACTTTAAAAAAACTTTTTCAGATAATTTACTCACCCCCATGTCATCCAAGATGTCCATGTCTTTCTTGCTTCAATCGAAAAGAAATTAAGGTTTTTGATGAAAACATTCCAGGATTTTTCTCCATATAATGGACTTCAATGGGGACCAAGTAGTTCAAGGTCCAAATGAGAGTTTCAGTGGAGCTTCAAAGGGCTTTAAACAACACCAGATGATGAATAAGGGTCTTATCTAGCAAAACGAGAAGTCATTTAAAAACTAAATAAAAGCGTTTAAGTTTTATAAGCACAAATGCTCGCTCGTGACTCTCCTGTTCGAACTTGTTCATCAAAATGAACGGATCTTTTTTCGAATCATTTCGTTTGTTGAATGAACCAAATGACTCGAAAAAAGATTCGTTCATTTTTTTTATTTATTTTTGAAACTGATCGTTTCGCTAGATATTCATCGTCTGGTGTCATTTAAAGCCCTTTGAAGCTGCACTGAAACTCTCATTTGGACCTTGAACCATTTGGTCCCCATTGAAGTCCATTATATGGAGAAAAATCCTGGAATGTCTCTGTAACAGCCCTGCTCTGTAAACCAAGCTCTAATATACCTTGAGAAAACTATCCGATAGCATTCCCATTCATCTGTGGCAGTTATTCGGCTGAACCATGATGTTCTGCAAGTACTGGATTTGTATCCTGCTCATTGGCCTCAGTTTCAGATAGTTTTCTAAATCTGAGTAAATTATAACAGAATTGTCTTTTTGAGGTAAAAGGTTATGTAACAATATGTCATCCGGAAAACCTGCTTTCCCAAACACATTGTTGCAGTGAGGAGTGAGCCTCACTGCTCAAACACAATACTCCGACCCGGCACCGGACATGCTCTTAATCTCCGGCTCCATTCGCAGTCATATGCAAATATCCTGCCACAGTTTAACATGGCCTTTCACACACAAGCTGGATGGCCAATGCAAAGTATGAAGCAAGTGTATTCCTTCCCTTGCTGATCTGAGGTCATCGTGCCACAAGTGACATGAGTTGTAAGATTCAAGTGGTAAAAGTGATCAATACACTGGAGAAACCTGTACTGTTGAATACACAGATGGCGTGTTACTGATAGCTGTGTGTGTTTGTTTGAAAGACAGACCTGGTGTGACCTCTGACCTTGATGATGCTGCATCAGGTCTTCAAAGCGTCTAGATAAGGGCTTTTGATCCTCAGAAGAGAGTCTTCTGGTCAGATATGACATCATTGATAACATCTACCCTGACTCATTCATGTCTAAAGCCCCAGATGTTTCCCCAGGACATGCAGCATTCTGTCGACTTCCTGGCTATACACTTCCAGGATATGTCTGATATCTATAAAGCTTGAAAGAGCTATAGGCCTATGAAAAACACAATACTAACACAAGTAAAATATGTGAATTATGTATGATATGCTGTTTTCCAACGGCCACCTTTTGCCTAGATTACAGATCTGCATGCACACTCTTGACATTCTCCAATTCAAGTGGGACCTGCTTTTTCTCTGGCTCATTGCTAGGAAAAAACATAATAATATTAATTTTTGTTTGTGTATATAGCATTTTGTGTCATACGTATAATTTCCCTAATTTAGCTAATTTCACCCACACCAGTCCAATTTCTTTAATAGTAGCCTACTGCAGGCCTACATGTGGTGAGCTTGCATTCCCCCGCCTTACAACGTTAGCCTATTACATTAAATAGGGACAGACTGACGCAAACCGAACACTTTTTAATGTGAGACTGGTCGTCAGAGAGAGAGAGAGAGAGAGAGAGAGAGAGAGAGAGAGAGAGAGAGAGAGAGAGAGAGAGAGAGAGAGAGAGAGAGAGAGAGAGAGAGAGAGAGAGAGAGAGAGAGAGAGAGAGAGAGAGAGAGAGAGAGAGAGGCCAAGTAAGATAAACAGCGCTCTCTTGTGTGGTGAAATAATATCTGGAAAAAAAGAGTCCAGAAACCAGAGCTAACAACACACTTGAAAAACAACAACAAACGAAAACAATACAATTATTTTATAAGTAATTCAGTTTTCAGATGTCAGATAATATTGTTAAATATACGTTTTACCCCTAGCTACATATTACATCCAGATATTGGAGCGAGAAATTAAAAACGGAAGTGACGTTTTGGGGGATGTTTTCGGACATGTTTGTGAGTGGCATATTCGTTATGGTTATAATTAGCTAAATAAATTGTATTTTTAGAACTCTATTGATGATTTTATATATTGATAACTTCCACTGAAGTTCTGTTTTGTGATCGAATTCCAACGTTTTAAAACGATGACTCGGTGTGCGGGGCGGAAATGCGACGGTTCTCCGAATCTCCGTGAGCGCGCGTCTGTTTCCGTCCGTGTGAGTGTGAGAGATTACTGACCCAGATCGAGATGAAAACAGGTCCTGCTGGAACGGTCTAATGTCATTTTGCGCCATAGTAATCTGACTTGACATTGAGTAGGTGAGTGACATATTTTGATCCCATTTATCACAATATATCGATAAACACAGAGCCGCTTGATGATGTTGGTTCATTCGTGAGTTAGTGGGTAACTATCACTAAACAGCTGTTAGCAACCTGTCCACTGGTAATTACCAAAAACTGCACTATACGCGCGAGCCTCAACTAGTCATGCATACAAAGAAGCAAAATATATAATGTCGACTAAACGTGACGTTTTGTGGGGTTATACATTTAATATGCATCAGTGCGCAATGTGAGCGTTTCCAACTTGTAAATAGTGTATTAAAAACGCATTAAGATTCTGAACTGACATCCATTTTAATTATAATGTAAACCGTGAAGATGATTAGTGCCATACAGTAAAATAATTAGATTATTTTAAGATGTTGTCATCGTCATTTCTTAATTATCCGGTCACTCAATTGACATCGCAAACTCAGCATGCGTTTATACGGTAAATAAAACCTGCATGGATTACCCTAATGAATCCGTTTACTTGTAGTTGTATTTGTGTTGGCACAAAGAAGGCCTGTAATGACTGCTTGCCAGCCCGGATCTTAACACGTCTTGTACACACACCTGTCTCTGTCTCAAACGCGACGCGATACTGTCACACCATCGCGTTTGCGGCGCGTCTGACAGACTTGTCTGTCCATCATAACATCAAAAGATTAAAAACCAGTGTGCTTTAGAAGCTATTTTGAAATACATGAAGTGGATTTAAAGGAATTCATCCATAAATGCGAATTCTGCTGTCATTTATTTGCCTGTGTATGTTGCTAAAACCGCGAAGGACAGCCTTTCTTCTGTGGAAAAACCGCTTCTGTCACCTTTCACTTTCATTGTATGTAGAAACTGTCCTTCTGCCAAACCATCTCCTTTTGTGTTCCACAGAAGATTGAAAGTGTACAGGTTGGAAACAATATGCGGGTGATTAAATGACTGAAGAATTAGTTTGTGTGTGTGTGTGTGTGTGTGTGAGAGTGAACTATCTCTGTTCATTCCTTCACACCCTGATAAAACCAGCCATCTTTGTTTGTTTGACATTTTAAGAAGTATGTATCCGAATGTTACTGTTTGTGAAGTAATGTAACCAAAGATCTTTGAGAGCTTTTGGTTTTATTTTTCAGTCAAGTGACATATTTTCTCCAAAAATAGTTGATTTCGGTTTCTTAATTCCTCATAAGTTGTGACATCTGTTTAAGCCTGGCTTTAGATTGTTAAATTAAATATTAATTTTAAATCTGTTTGAGAATATATTTAAACCTTTATATTTACTTTATTTGTATTATACTTGTATGTTCTTATATATACTGTAGCTATATACTTAATATTATATATTCATTATTTTTATTACATTTTTTATATTACTTAGTGCTGTCAAATCAATTAATCACATCTAACAAAAGTGTTTAAATATATTAGTGGTGTCAAATCAATTATTGCACATCTAACATAGAAGTTTTATGAATATATATATATATATATATATATATATATATATATATATATATATACACACGGGCTGTCAAACGATTAATCGTGATTAATTGCATCCAAAATAAAAGTTTGTGTTTACATAAATGTGGGTGCACTGTGTATAATTATTTTTTATGTATATATAAATATACACACATGCATGTATATTTAAGAAAAAAAATATTTATATATAAATGATTTATATTAATATTTAATATAAATTATATATAAATCTATATACAGTATATACATGAAAATATTTCTTAAATATATACAAGCATGTGTGTGTGTATATATATATATATATATAAATGTAAAATAATTATACACCGTGCACCCATGTTTATTATGTAAACACAAACTTTTATGGATGCAATTGGATGCAATTAATCACGATTAATCGTTTGACAGCCCTAATTTATATATATATATACGTATGTGTGTGTGTGTGTGTGTGTGCGTGTGTGCTCGAATACACATATATTTATTTACTCATATATATGTAATGTATAAATTGTCATATTTTTGATATTGCAGTATTGTCTGAGTTGTCAGTTAATCAAAATAATAATGGAAAAGCATTAATTAGATTAGGACTCATCAATACATAAAAGTTTGTTGCTTTTATCAACACTGAGCTAAGATTTTTACCCTAAATCTCTCGTTCTGTTTGTTTAATATGAATTGTCCAACAGTTTGGCAGCGCTGTGGTGCCATGCGGCTGTGGCTTCAGGAGGTGTTTGTGTGGACGACTCTTCACCTGTCTGCTCACATCTCAGATCATTTACCTCCCTGTAGCGCAGGCGTTTCAGGATCATTTTTGGGAAAAGGTATGACAAACATTCTTTGCTATCGCAAGCATCTACAACACAAACTAATCTCTATTGTTGCCTTGGTTTTGTTTAACATACGTAAGATGAATTCGCTGTACGAGTTTGATATCTTTTTTTTTTTTCTTTCCAAGGTCTGTGCTCTTAGTTAGAAGATGCTCAATGCGGAGCTGAGGATGCGCAGATGGAAATGGCCCGTCCAGTTTACCTCACTGTACCTGAGCTGTCTGTATTTCTTCTGTTCAGTCTCTGGTAAGCAGGTCCCGTAGTCATTTCTGTGACCTCTGTATGAAATAACTCCAAATCAGTGGCATAAGAAGGATGATCTAAAGAACTGCATGATAATTAAGGGGGTGTTCACACTTAGTTTGGTTCTTTTGGTCTGGACCCATAACAAATTATACATTTAAAGGTCTATTGCGCAACATTTCATGTTGAAAATACCCGTTTTTTTCTAACCCATACATGCTTAAACAATTGCCTGATGGTCTGAATGAGCCCTTCTCTGATCACAATATTGATTTTAAAATATTGTACAGTCAAATAAATAAGAGGGATTCGGGACGGACTTTGAGACTGGGCTTGATGTCATCCGCGTTCACGCTCACCTGGCGATGTCTGGCAGGTTTGTGTATTCTCCGTCATTCTCCGTATTAGAGAGCGACAAAACTTTAGTCAACTTTTGACAAAAGTAGCAGATGGATTCAAAGAGACCGGCTTGTAGTTCATTCCAAACTCCACGTAAGACAAGGAAAATAAAACTTTTGTCTTGAGCGTGCACACCTCTGGTTGCGGTTTTGCTTGTTGCCAGAGGGGGTGTAGTTCTGCAAAAACTCAGAGACTTGGGCAATGCACCTTTAAAGGGATAGTTCATCCAAAAATGATAATTACTCGCCCTCATGTTGTTCCAACCTCATTATAGACTTTTGTTCATCTTCGGAACACAAATTAAGTTATCGTCCACACGGATCCGGCGTTTTGGGAGAGTGAAACCGCTGTTTTTTGAAACCGGGTCCCAAAGTGGATAAATCTGAAAACTACTCTCTAGCAGTTTCGCGTGTACAGCCAATTCGTATATTTTGTGAAACGATGATGTCATCACATCACGTATCAGCTGCGTCACACGCCATCTTCGTCTTCTTCTTCTTGGTTCGTATACAGCGCGCAAGGTTATGCGCATGCTCAAAGTCTTCTTCTCCGTGTATAGTTTATCTCTGTGGCAGAATTACAGCGCCCCATACTGGTCTGGCATATATACTACACTGTTTTCAGTCGGTTTCAGTGGTTTCGTGTGTACGCAGATATTTCTTGAGACAATGTCGTGTTTACATATTTTTTTTAGAACAAGGAAAAATAAATCATAGGAAACGCACCGGCTTCGTGTGGACGTGGCCTAAGTCAAACCGCACTAGACTAGAGTCTCGGCCCGCTTGTTTAATGCGCACCAGAATTCGGATGACCATGTTCACACTCGTTCAAATGATCACTATCAGAGCAATTGCAACAGGGTTTGCTTTTAATCAAACCAAAACCTGCCATTTATGAACATAGCCTAAAACAACACAACTATAAATATAAAAACTAAAGCAAGAGCATTATTTGAGTAGTTGGATCTTAGACCATTGTTTGTATATGTTTGTTACTTGTTGCGGTGATGATGAGTGATGGCACTGATTTGGAGGATTACAAAGTGGGAAGCATAATGGACACACTGTGTTCGTTTCCACAAAGGGGGGAAATCGCACAACAGGCCTATAGTCCCCCACCCCAAAGAAAAAACGCACGGGTGGGGCTTCCAACTGTGTCCTGCAGTTTAAGTTTCACTGCCACCCCATAATTAACAACCCTCTGTTGTCATGGTTACAGTCTTCAGAGACAAAACCGTGTCTATGAAGGGATTGGGGAAGGGGGTGGATGTCTAACTGGACTCTGACTTCCTGAAACTTGTCAGTGCACACAAGTGTAATGTGTTAGTGACCTGTATGATAAACAGCCTTGTTTTTTAGTGGACAGGCATTATTTCCCATCCAATCAGGGCTAGATGTGAGTCTGCATGGACTGACAGTATTGTTCTGAGCTCTGCAGTTGAGCTTAACTGAGAGACCTGTTGTTTTCTGAATATAATAAACAATTGCATGGCTTATGAATTGTATATTATTTCTGATATATCTGCCAATATTAGCATATATTTAATTTTTCATGCTGATTATTTTTTATTATATATTATTATTTTTTTAGATTTAAATTATCTTGCTAATATTTCACTTAAAATGATAAAAATACTAGTTTTAATAAATGTTTTATTCCATTTAATTTAATACAAATTCAAATGTATTATTTATTTTCATATTTTATAATTAAAAAATTTTATAACACAAGTGTATAGCAAATCCCAAAAAATTTTTCACACTGTACATTATATAATATTGTATAATATTGTGGTGACTAGAATACAATCGTGTAGAATTTTAATATCAGACATATATTGGTTATTAGACAATATTACGTATATATATATATATATATATATATATATATATATCCATGGCTTTAAATGGCACAAGTGATTTTAGTTCAGTTAAATTAATTTTTTTTATATATTTTTATATATATATATATATATATATATAGATCTTCAGTATGTATGTATGTATATGTGTATATGTAGATCTACACACACACACACACACACACACACACACACACACACACACACACACACACACACACACACACAGATATATATACAATTAATTAAAGCTGTCATTAAATTGTCATAGCTTTGCCATATTCACTAATCTTTTCTCCCTCTCAGCTCTATTTTCTCCTTGTCAACCTTTATTTTGGCCTCGTTTGTCCCTCTCTCAGGGGTTTCGGGCAGCATGTGCACAGTAACGGGTGGTGTCCTGGGTATCCACTGGAGCAGCGTCATTGGTCTGGGCTGGCAGCCACTGGCAGTGGACCATTTAGGGGCTCGATGCTGGGAATCCTGCTGTATGAAGCCCTCCTGTGGTGCCGTGTGGAGCCTCGGTGGACGCTGTGTGTTGCTGGCCTGCACTCGAGCGAAGGGCTGCGGCGTTAGGTCTCTTCCTCAGCCGTATGTAGAATCTCTGGGGCTTCTTCAGCATCTGAACACGGGCATGCGCAGTAAGAGGGACGTTTACAACGCTGAGGATGTCCGAGTAATCCGGGAGACGGAGCGTGTAAGCCATATTATATGATCTCAAACGCGTTCAGTAGTGGGTCTCATTCACTAATAAGTACATTTAAGTGTCCTTACTATTAAATGTGTTAAAAATATCCACCGGCAAGGTATGCTTGTGGTTACCCTCGTTCTAATGTTGATGAATCTGGATTATTCTACATGAGCTAGAGAATGAGACCCACTATCCTAAAGAATAAAATATTGCACTAACTGTTGATTCGCAGCATATACTGTATATATTGTCTGATTAACGTATACTTAATTGTGCATGCTCATTTCCTTTTTTTTAATAGCAAATCTCACTTTTATTTTATACTGTATATTATAAAGTTGTGGTGACCTGTTGCTTTTCACAATTTGGGATTTTATTAATTTATTTTTAATTTATTTAGACAAAATTGTATATTTTCTTTTGATTCTATTTATATTGTATTTGTTCAATTTAATTGTGCATGCTCATTTCCCCTTTTTTTACTGAGATCACTGTACATTATGTTGTGGTGATTTTCAAATAGGATTTTATTTATTTATAATTTATTTAGACAAACATTATTTAGAATTGTAATATGTCCTGAAGCATAAAATCTTGCTCTTCAACTCTTTATTTGAATCATAAATGCATATAATTTTATATAATTTCCCATATTTTACATTTAGAATACCTTTGCCATCATGTAATGTTTACTTAAATGTCATTTTTAAGTTGTATTAAATAATGAAAATAATTTAATGTTAAATGTAATTTAAAGTCTAAAAATGCTTAATACTGTACATTATAATGTTGTGTTTATTTGGACAAATTTGTAATCAAATTTTAATACCACTCTCCTTAAGCATACCATTTTGCACTTTTACTCTCGTTTTGCAGCTTATCTCTGTGAACTAACTGATATTTTCACCCTCACAGGACATGTCTGTTAAACCCACAGTGCCATTGACTACATCCCATGATACAGCACTTCCACACACACCCGGTGAGATCTCCATCCAGTCCACCAGTGGCAGTGGTGAACATGAAGCTGTCTCAGTATCTGAGCATAATTCAACACTGGATGCAGACACTGGAGATCATTCAGCATTAAACAACAGTAATCAGTCTCCACAGTCCACGTCTGACACACATTCAGTGACTCCAACAACAACACCAGCTGGTACGACATACTGCTCTGTAGCTATGTGTTGTGTTGTACTGTATGCATTTATTACCCTCCATGTGAGGTTTTCAAAGTAAATGAAAATCAAGGTCTACAAAGCAGACTATTCTGTGACGTATTGTAACAATTGTTTCAGTGCGAGAGCTGGTCGTGTCTGCTGGCAAAAATGTGGAGGTCACTTTACCCCGCAGTGAGGTGGAACTGAACGCTTTTGTGGTGCCAGAGCCGCCTTCAGGTACTGCTCTAAATACGCCATTGCAGTCGGCTTCTCCTCCTTTATCTTTGTTATAATTTCTCTGTTAATTCCTTTAGGGGCTAACTATGACTGGCGTTTGAGGACACATCCAAAAGACTATAGTGGAGAAATGGAGGGTAAACACAGCAAGACACTTAAGCTCAGTAAGGTAAATAAAATTGTTCATTGTCTACAGGAGCAGGATTGAACACCCCTGGCCTAAACGTGTTATATATATACGTATATATATATACTCACCTAAAGGATTATTAAGAACTGTTCAATTTCTCATTAATGCAATTATCTAATCAACCAATCACATGGCAGTTGCTTCAATGCATTTAGGGGTGTGGTTCTGGTCAAGACAATCTCCTGAACTCCAAACTGAATGTCAGAATGGGAAAGAAAGGTGATTTAAGCAGTTTTGAGTGTGGCATGGTTGTTTGTGCCGGACGTGTGGGTTTGAGTATTTCACAATCTGCTCAGTTACTGGGATTTTCACGCACAACCATTTCTAGGGTTTACAAAGAATGGTGTGAAAAGGGAAAAACATCCAGTATGCGGCAGTCCTGTGGGTGAAAATGCCTTGTTGATGCTAGAGGTCAGAGGAGAATGGGCCGACGGATTCAAGCTGATCGAAGAGACTGAAATAACCACTCGTTACAACTGAGGCATTTGTGAAGCCACAACACGCACAACCTTGAGGTGGATGGGCTACAACAGCAAAAGACCCCACCGGATACCACTCATCTCCACTACAAATAGGAAAAAGAGGCGACAATTTACAAGAGCTCACCAAAATTGGACAGTTAAAGAAAGACTGTAAAAATGTTGCCTGGTCTGATGAGTCTCGATTTCTGTTGATACATTCAGATGGTAGAGTCAGAATTTGGCGTAAACAGAATGAGATCATGGATCCATCATGCCTTGTTACCACTGTGCAGGCTGGTGGTGGTGGTGTAATGGTGTGGGGGATGTTTTCTTGGCACACTTTAGGCCCCTTAGTGCCAATTGGGCATCGTTTAAATGCCACGGCCCACCTGAGCATTGTTTCTGTCCGTGTCCATCCCTCTATGGCCATGATGTACCCATCCTCTGATGGCTACTTCCAGCAGGATAATGCACCATGTCACAAAGCTCGAATCATTTCAAATTGGTTTCTTGAACATGACAATGAGTTCACTGTACTAAAATGGCCCCCACAGTCACCAGATCTCAACCCAATAGAGCATCTTTGGGATGTGGTGGAACGGGAGCTTCATGCCCTGGATGTCTGTGCATCCCACAAATCTCCATCAACTGCATCCTGCTTATAGTACTAAATATTTTTGCGTTACACCATTTAACTGAGTTGAAGCATAATACTATGTATAAACTAAATATTTACAGAAGCCTCCGATCAGGAGTAACAGTTGGAATAAAATAACAGTCATACTGCTCTGCATCAACAAGCACTTCTTTTACCTGACAGACTTCAATTCTTTAGACATATATGATCATGCTGACATTTGCGCTCGCTTACATTTTAAGAGAGAGAACATAATGTGAATAGATGACTTTGTTAGCGGCTCATCAATACGAACCCTTTCTACAGTGTGTGCATCTGTCCCATTTATCCTTATTCATTTTATACAGTTTCTGAATATTATTTACATGTAAAAGCACTTATTCATGATTAAGGTTCCTATTTAATGGAAACTTTTTTTTCTTGTTAGTTAATTAAGGCAAAAGAAGTTAGAATGAATTGTTAACTGAAATTCCCAGCATTTAAGCAATTTCAGTGCCTGTATTTGAAGGCTGCTGGATCAATGAGGGTAAATGTCATATTAGCCTACTTTACAGAGAGTTTACGACCTACTAGCTACGTTCTGCCTTACGAACGGAGTTAGTTACAAACTAGCTAGTAGTTACTAAGCCTCTAGTGTGGACTCCAATTTAAGGAAGAACTTTCGAACGGCTGGTAGAACCCGACCCAGAATTAAAAAAAAAAAAAATATATATATATATAATATTCTAAACATTTCTAATATTCCAAATGTTTCCCTTAGCTGACAGTGGGTCTCTATGAGTTTGAGGTGGTTGTGGATGGTGACGGTGCTCATGGGGAGGGATACGTCAACGTTACTGTCAAACCAGGTAACTTTAGTATAGATGTACCTGTTAACTGTATGCTTGAATCAGTTTTCAGAGTTTTCTTTGGTCAGCCTATATAAGTCCTGCATTTCTTGCTTCTACAGAGCCCCGAGTGAATAAGCCACCTGTTGCTGTAGTTTCTCCAAAGTACCAGGAAATCTCCTTGCCTACAAGCTCCACTGTGATTGACGGTCAACGTGCGTATCACACTTTTTTTTGCTTTCACTAAACCAGATTTTAATGTTGTATGAGCCATAATAGCCATTCTATTACTTGCATTATTTAAAAAATAAATCAAATAAATGTACTCTACCTTTCGCCGCCAACTCCTGCGAGATGACGCAAACTCTAAATCAACACGCACCAATGCTAAAACTTTCTATATGGCATAGTCATTTGTTAAGTGCTCATTGTTGTTGCCTTAAATTATGACATTGTTTAAATTAATATATTTTTAGCACAATTTGTTATTTGTACATTTCTGAAATATATAACTCATGCTTTTTCTGTAAAACTGCTTTGAAATGATGTGTATTGTGAAAAGCGCTATACAAAAAAATGTCAATTTAATTTGGGATCAGTAAAATATTTTGTTTTTGAAAAGTTTTTATGCTCACCAAGGTTGCAGTATTTAATTGATTAAATTTACAATAAAAACTATATTGTGATTGATTATTAAACATCGTGCAGCCCTACTTTAACACATTGCTAAATATCTTTAAATATAATGTTCTCCGCGGTGGCCAAGAATGTCTAATGAAACATTTGTGATCATTGTCTTGTGTTTCTCAGTGAGTACTGATGATGATAAAGTGGTGACGTGGCATTGGGAGGAGGTGAAGGGGCCGCTCAGAGAAGAAAAGGCCTCAGGTGATACTGCTGTTCTCACCCTCACAAACCTGGTTCCGGGTAATTACACCTTCAGGTATGTCTTATATCCATTTTTTGCACATTTTTTATCAGCAGATAACCACTGCAAAACCTGGCAAACCAGTCTGTCATTTGGAAAACTATTTACAGACACTCCAAAATAAACAACAAATAAAAAAGGTTGTTATAGTATATCATATTTATTCTCTAACAGACTCACGGTGACTGACTCGGATGGAGCTCAGAATTCAACCCAAGCCATGTTGTTGGTCAACAAGGCCACGGACTACAAGCCTACAGCGAACGCTGGACCCAACCAAGTGATCACACTGCCACACAACTATATCATACTGTACGGCAACCAAAGCACTGACGACCATGAGAATCTGTCCTATGAATGGTCTCTCAGCCCTGAGAGCAAGGGCAAGGTGGTGGAGATGCAGGTACATGAGAAACACAACGCCATTTCTCAGTAGAGCTGCATGATGACATAATCTTGATTCAAACACCCACACTATTCGGCTGTCTTTTAAACCTTTGACAAGTACAATCAGCAAATATTCAGATCTGTGTTCTGACCCAGAGAGAGCGGTTGGCACGCAGTATCATTATTTCTGTTACAATAATTAAAATTATCTCAGAAGTACTGGGTTACTGATATAAATAAATACTATATAAATACAGTAAATAAATACTGATGTCTAAAGTAGCGATCAAAATAGAGTAAATCACCTTTTGAAAGTAACTTAACACTGCAAATAAAGATTGTATCATTACATTGTTACACCAGTAGGTGGCGACAAATGACTGTTAAAAAATGCATGTCATTGAATCATTTACTCAAGAGATTTGTTCATGCAGTTGTGCAAACCTGTGTTCGAAATTGCCCTCTATAGCTCATTGATTATTCCCTATATTAGGCCCCGTCCACACTACTGCGTTTTCGTTAAAAAAACGGAGAATTAAAATGAATACGATCTCCGTCCACACCAGCGTTTTATCTGCGTATTAGAAATGATCTCCGTCCACATGAAAACGCGGATCACGTGACCATTCACCAACACTGGGCATGCGCGTGCCGGTGTAAACAGTGATTGACGAATCAGGGAAGGATACGTCATGACTGATAACACCCAATCATGGAGCCAAGTGTCAGCCCCTGCGTCAGCGTTTCTGAAGTCCTACGTTTTGTCTCGTCCACACTAAAACGCCCTCCGTAGATTCAAAACGCAAAACGGAGCTGCTGCATTTCTAAACTTCTCCATTTTAGGTCTTCGTTTTTCCCGTTTTAGTCTGGACGGGAGGTGCAAACGTAGCAAAAGGTCTACGTTTTTAAACGAAAACGCAGTAGTGTGGACGGGGCCTTAGTCCACTAATGTGGTCCAGGTGAAGAAGTGAATTACAACGAGTGAGTGAATTTGGACACTGAGGCCCAGTCCACACTACTGCTTTTTTGTGTAAAAACAGAGAATTAAAACGAATACCATCTCCGTCCACACCAGCGTTTTATCTGCGTATTAGAATTGATCTCCATCCACATTAAAACGACTGAAAATGCGGATCACGTGACCATTTACCAACACTAGGCATGCGCGTACCGGTGTAAAGAGGAAACGGATTGACTATTCCCAAACTATTCTCTGCTATTCCTCAGATTTGGGGACGGGGACTGGTCATGTGATAGGTGGCTGATGAATCAGGGAAGGACACGTCATGACTGATGACACCCAATCATAGAGCCGAGCATGAGCCTCTGCGTCATCGTTTCTAAAGTTCTCCGTTTTGTCCCGTCTTCACTAAAACGCCTCCCCGAGATTCAAATGCAAAACGGAGCTGCAGCGTTTCCAAACTTCTCCGTTTTAGGTCTTCGTTTTTTCCGTTTTAGTCTGGACGGGAGGTGCAAAGGTAGCAAAAGGTCTCCGTTTTTAAACGAACACGCTTTAGTGTGGACGGGGCCTGTGTGTGCCGAAAGGACTGCCGTTTTTGCATAGTTTGCCTTTGCGGTTTAGTAATCATTTGGAACTTTGCAAACTGGCTGCTCCAGTTGTAATGAAAACATTTAACTTGAACTACCCTCATTGGACCAGCGGTTTGGAAAATAGATGTATGGGTGATTCAATCATCTTCTGACAAGACCTGGGATTATTCAGCATAACCATCACAGTGCATTATGGGTATTCTCTAGCCTTTGAGCGTACATTGGTTGTACACTTGGTATTGCGGTGCATTGTTGAATGAGTGCAATCGATAACATCCACTATGATTTCAGACACCACTACAAATTGCTGTCTCCTCAAATAGGGCTCTGTTTAAGGGTATAGGGGCGATTTCACACACAGCCCAAGTTTTAAGAGTGAGTCGTTGAATCATTCATTCAAATCAAATTTTTAATAATTCATTCAAATAATTAGATGTTTTTTTTAAGTTTTGTCAGAACCTCTAGTAAATGACATGTTATTTTGTTTAGTTGTTAGTTCTGAATCGTGATCTCTATTAAAGAAAAAACTTGCTCTAACTTGCTCTTTTATTATGCTGATTATTTTTGTCAGTGAGTGTATTAGTGAGCATTTGTTCTCCATAGGGTGTGAGGACGGCCACTCTGCAGCTTTCTGCCATGCAGGAGGGCGACTACACCTTTCAGCTGACCGTCACTGACTCGTCTGGCCAGCAAGACACGGCTCAGGTCACCGTCATTGTCCAGCCAGGTATCTTTTTAAAAACAGGACACAATGATTCATACTTAACTTGTAAATCTACATTTGAAGCTACATTTGAAGCTTCTGTTTGTGTTTGATCTCTCTCTCTCTATGTGAAATCCCTCCAGAGAATAACAAGCCCCCTGTAGCGGATGCTGGTCCAGATAAGGAGCTGACGCTGCCTGTCGATCGCACCACACTGGACGGCAGCAAGAGCACCGACGACCAAAAGATTGCCACGTACCACTGGACAAAGAACACGTCAGTTACACACAATCACTCTTCCCGCGTTCATTTTATGTATATTTGTAAAATGTTCTTGTACAAAATGTACAGTCTCATTTTATAGACTGGATTTATTTTGTTTAAGCTACACTGTGTGATTTTTACCCCCATCTAGTGGTGAAAAGGTATATGACCATCCAGTGAATATTAGTTTCTGTTCCTCTCAATTCCGATTTCGTTTTAACTCCTACGGTGGCCAATGTAGTCCAAGATTTACATGGCTTCCAGTTCGACCTCGTCCATGAGTGTTAACTCAAACGTAAACGCGAAAGGCGAAGTTTGAATTAACGGGTATGTCCCTCTTTGGCTAATGTACTGTCAAGATGGAGGGGCAACATGGCGACCGACATTAGAACCCCTAACCCGTATGTATTTTCAATGGCATATTATTCACTCACAAGAATACTTTATTACTTGAACGAAGTAAATATACATTAATGAGCACATATATTTTTGAAAGAACTAAGTGTTTTTAGCTAAGAATAAACTAAAAGAGTTACACAGTGTAGCTTTAAGGCCAATTTAACACATTTAACATACAGTACCATTCAAAATTTGGGGTCAGTACAGTATTTTTTTGTAAGAAATACTTTTATTTAACATTCAATTGATTTACAGTGACAGTATAGAGTATAATGTTATGGAAAATTTCTGTTTCAAATAAATGCTGTGCTTTTGGACTTTCTATTCATCAAAGAATCCTGAAACAAATGCATCACTGTTTCAATTAACATTTTAAGCAGCAAATAAGAAGGATTTCTGAAGACTGGAGTAATGATGCTGAAAAATGCAGCTTTGATCACAGGAATAAATTACATTTTAAAATATAATAAAGTAGAAAATGGTTATTGTAATAATATTTCACAATATTACTGTTTATGCTGTATTTTTGATCAAATAAATGCAGCTTTCATGAGCAATGAGAGACCTTCAAAAACACTTAAAAAAATCCAGAACAGTAGTTTGTTTATATACTGTATATTACAAAAAATGTATTTACTCTTCAATGGCTTACTCATCTGCTGTAGTGTGATGATGTTTTGGGAACTGTTGTTTAGTAAATATTATTATGAAAATATTTTTAAATAATCTGCATGGGTTTCATTAATTTTTTAATTGATTTATTTAATTGATTCCCTACTTTTTTGTATCAAATATCTTACTTTTCAAATGTACAGGGTAGTAAGGTAGTTCTTATATGTTTTTAATGGTGTCACAGGGGCCCAGAAGGGGTGAAGATTGAAAATGCGGACACCGCGATTGCTGTGGTGACGGGTCTGCAAGAGGGCGAGTACATTTTCATGTTGACGGTGACGGATGAAAGGATGCTGGAGAATTCTGACACCGTCTCCGTCATCGTCCGAGAAGGTGTGCGTCCTTAATTAAATCTGAGAAACGTTTTATATTGGTCTTAGTTGGAAAACTTTGTTCGTGTAGTTCAATGGTTCTCAACCTTCTCTTGCAGGGACCCCCAAACATGTTTTTGTTTTTACCCCAAAATGGCACACCTGATTCAATTAGTCAGCTACACATTAAGCCTTTGAGCCTTTAATTAATTGAATCAGTGGTGCCATTTCAGGGTTAAAACTAAAATTTGGCTGTCAGGGTGTCCCTGGAGGAGAGGTTGAGAACCACTGGTTTAGTTCTGTTGTGGTCTGTCTGTCATATTAGAAATAATTTTGCTTTTGGCTTGTTCAAATCAGAGGATGATCAGCCACCTGTTGCCAAAGTGCTGTCCAGTCCTCCGATCACTCTTCCCATCCGTACTGCGGTTCTGGACGGTTCTCGATCATCAGATGATAAGGGTAGCATCAGCTACCTCTGGACCCGTGAAGACACAAGCCCGGCTGCAGGGGTAAGTACTGTTTATAAAGCACATTACATTCATGGCTCTGTTGAACATTCAAGCATAATGTGAGGTGGTGACAGAACCAGGGACACCGGTTAGTTTGGTACAGTTTTTTTTAAAGAATGTGTTCCTCAAAGATTGAGGAGCCATTAATCAGGACCAGAAAATGACACTGTTGAAATGTGCCCTCTGTTTTTCTCTTCCAGGATGTCCTGAATAACTCTAACCACCAGGCAGTGCTTTTTATTGGTAATCTGGTGGAAGGGAAGTACACTTTCACCCTGACTGTAACTGACAGTAAGGGAAAGACCCATGCTGACAAAGGCACTGTAGAGGTTCGACCAGGTCTGTATGCTTGCCATTTTTAATAGCATTGTATTTTTTCAACTTTCTTTAGCGTGCAATGTTGCTGTTTGAGCATTCAAAGTCTTGATTTTGTTTTTGGGCTCTACTATAATTGGTTGTTTTAATGTAATAAAAAAAAAAACACCTTATAATTCCACATCTCTAACATTGTTGCAGCTCCTCTCTTCTCAGTCTGTCAGTAACGCTATGTTTAGTTCCTGTCTCTATGAAGCCCCTCTTTCTGATAAGCACAATGTCCTGTGTGTTGTGATTGGTCAAGTGCTTTGTGTGTTTGAGATTTGTCCTGCCCCTTACCATAACTGCCAGTTTCAACACACTACTAACTCAACCAGGCCCCGCCCCTTTAAAGGGGACCTATTATGCCCATTTTCACAAGATGTAATGTAAGTCTCTGGTGTCCCCCAATGTGTCTTTGAAGTTTCAAAATACAAAAATATTTAAGTATTTTTTCACAATACCCCACTGATCATTTATTTTAGTTTTTCAAATTTGCCCCTATTTGATGTGAGCAAAAACACGCCGTTTTTATGTGTCCCTTTAAATGCAAATGAGCTGCAGCTCCTCCCCTTTCCAGAAGAGGGCGGAGGCGAAATGTTAGAAATTGTCTGTGCAGCCTTACACGTTCAAAGTCAAACTGGAGACAGACACACCAGCCATTATAGGCTGGTTGTTCACACACACTGTGGATAAACATGTGTTCAAACACCTTATGAAAGTGAATTTAGCATAACTGGTCCCCTTTAAATGAGGAATATTGTAATGTGTTCTTTCCCGTAAGAAACTCAAGACTACAATGGAGACGTTTCAGGGAGTTCAGAAACAGTGACACTGATATAGAGAATAACTTCCGCTGGAGGGACTTTGTGATTTGCAACTTTGCAGAGCTTTTTCATGCTCAAACAGCAACATAACATAGTGACACTAAAAATAATTTTGAACTTGTAAAAAAAATTGTTAAATAATTCTCTTGTTCTACCTCAGATGTTTATGTGCGAGACTTGGTGGAGCTGATCCTAGACGTTCCTGTGGATAAGGTGTCCCGCAGACAGAAGGATATGTTCATCAGGCAGGTTGGTGTCCTTCTGGGAGTCTTGGACAGTGACATCATTGTGCGAGAGATTAGCGCCTTCAATGAGCACAGGTAAGTCCGGCTTAGGCTTTATAGGCAGCGCTAAAGTTAACGCCTCATCTCCACTGATCTGATTAAATTCCTTGATGGTCCTGTAATGAAATCACAGAAGAACTTTGTTTTTACATAGAATAGAGCGCTGCAGTGATGACGTATTTCTGTAGGCCATCACCCTGGTTCCTTCCACAAACACCCAATTTTCTTTTGGATTGTTGCAGAAAATAAGCTCTGAGTTCAACAAAAGTTTCATTCTTGCACGTTTTGTTCATCATGATAATTTTCACAAATTAACACACATATTATGAATTTTGAAGCCTAAATTCAAACAGCAGAAGTGAAAAGCTAAACATAGGATATAAAAAAAACTACACTACAGTCGCAGCTTCAACAACACCATCACTAAGATTCTGACAACTCTTACTTTCAGTCTTTGTGTGAAAGCATTTCCCCTGAACGTTCGAGTTATAATAGTTTGCAGGAGTTATAATAGTTTGAATCCAGGATCGCTGTCGTGAAACACTTAAATGTTTCCCTTACCAAAGAGAACCGTTTAAGAGATTATATGCAACACCCTTAAGTTATTCTCTTAGGTAAGGGGAAATCTCTTCTTAAGTATCATATTTAAGGGAAAAACTTAAGGTGCTTTATGCAACTGGGACTAGAAATTTAAATTCCCGAAGAAATAGGATAAGCTTTCACTGGTGAGAATATATTTGTTTGTTTTTTATATGTATTAAAGGTTTTTACTATGGTACTTTTGAATGTTTATTTATAATGTAACTTTTAATGTTGTGTTAGCTGACACCTTCGTCTTGCGTTGTGTTAGTTTAGCAATATTATCTGCTGAAATCTATTGTAGATATAGATATTCATACATACGTATAACTCATGGCTTTGACCGTTCGATACGTACAGCGGCCCATAGAAACAGCCAATAATGAGGCATCTGTGTATATATAACAAGCGGCAACATTCTAATCTGAAAGATGAAGCCTACCCTGAAGTGCGAAAAACTGCAATACATCTCAAATCCGCTAGAGGGCGGCCCCAAAAGGGAGCAAAAATCCATAGACGACATGTTAAAATATCCGTTTTCACAGCATAAATTCATATGTTTACAGTTTGGTCCCATGGACTTTTATTGTAATCTTCAATATGTTCTGTGTGCCTGACAACTGTGAAGGGGTGAATTTTTTTCTAACTCGTTAGTTTAGATCATATTTAGATATAAAACGTATGACAAATAAGGGCGATTAACTTTGATTGACAGGTGATAACGGGCTGCGCCGAGTGAATTTGACGTCTCGGCCATGATCTGACACAACACATCATACCAACTCTGTATCCTATCTGAAACTTTTGTATTTTGTATTTCCCAAGATTTTCCAGTATGGCGCCGCACATACCCCCCATAATCAGCTCTAATCAAAACCCGTTCTTCAGAGAGTCTATGGGTGACGTCACAGACGCTTTGTCCATATTTTTTACAGTCTATGATATATAACTATGAATGGAACCGGAAGTGCTAAAATGCTAACTTGTAACCAAATTTGTCATCCCTGCAGCACTCTATAGTACTTTTGAAGTTAATGTTTAAAATCATGCATGTTCCAGTCATATCAGAAGTTTTATGAAAGTTGTTTTATGCAATATATGTTGCATATATGATGATTACTTACGTACTTTACAGCACTCGCCTGGTATTTCTGGTATCTGGAGGTCCTGGACGACCTCCATTGACTGGCCATAGTGTTGCTATGGAACTGCGCAACAAATTTCGCAAGCAAAAAAACGAATTCCTTATCTTTAGGGCCCGGCGAGTGGACACAGTTAGTGAGTATTCATGTTAAACATCCTATTAACCGTTGTTTTTATTGTAGCAGTGGTCTTGTATTAAGCGTCTGATCTTTCCCCAGTCTGCCAGCTGAACTGCTCCAGTCACGGGGAATGCGACTCCTTCACCAGACGTTGCGTGTGCCACCCGTTCTGGATGGAGAATTTATTCAGTACTTATTTCGGGGATGCTGTGAGCAACTGTGGTGAGGGTACTCAAAAAATTGTTGAGGGAAGCTGCTTTAAAGAGGACCTATTATGCCTTTGCTTTTTTTTTCAGCTCTACTAGAATAAGTTTTCATGCTTCAACTAATTTTTTTTGCGGCTTCTCTCTTCCCAGTCTGTCAGTAACGTTCTGTTTAGTTCCTGTCTCTATGAAGCCCCTCCTTCTGAAAAGCACACTGTGCTGTGATTGGTCGGCTAGATCAGTGTGTGGTGATTGGTCAACTGCTTTGAGCGTGTTTGAGAAATGTCCCGCCCCTTACCATAACCACCAGTTTAACTCACTACTAACTCAAACAGGCCCCGCCCCTTTATTTAGCTAGGGTGGTAATTATTTAAATTAGAAATATTGTGATGTGTTCATTCCTGGGAAGAAAACTCAAAACTACAATGGAGGCATTTCTTTGCAACTTTGCCGACATTTTTAATGCTCACTCAGCAACATTACACACTAAAGAAAGTTGTGTGATGTAGTGTAATGGCCTGTTTATGTTTTCTTTTTCAGAATGGAGTGTATTATACGTGACGATAGCATCATTTATGACCGTGGCTGGCATAGCAACTGTAATATGGGGTATTGTGTGCTGCTGTCGAAGGTAAGAGTTAGACTAATAATAAACTGTTTATTAGGTTTTCTATTTGGAGTTTATTGCTAGTGTTTATTAAGTGTTCTTGATGTCTCGAGCAGACGGAAAAGCAAAGGGAGACGAAAGAGCCGCTATAAAATGCTGGATGGGGATGAACAAGAGGCTCTGGAATTACAGTTACCAAGACCTGGTAATAAAATGATCTATCAGATCTGGCAGTCTCTGAACAATGTTTTAAATGAATAAATTACGTAATTAATCACTTATTTAAGAATGTATTTCCAAAGACAGAGTAAAGAATTGAATATACACTACCATTCAATAGACTTTTTTTATTATTATATTTTTATTCATCAAGGATGCATTAAATTGGTCAAAAGTGACAGTAAATACATTATAACGTTGCAAAAGATTTCTATTTCAAATAAATGCTGTCCTTTTGAACTTTCTATTCATTAAAGAAACATAAAAAACATTACATTTTGTACAAGATATTAAGCAATAGTTTTCAAAAATAATAATAAGAAAAAAAATGCCAATAAGTGACATTTTGAAATATATTTTACAATATTACATTTGAGACTTCTTTCAAAAACATTCAAAAATCTTACCGACTCCAAATTTTGGACCGTAGTCAATATATTTGGAAAAGTATTAAAGGAGTAGTTCACTTTTAAAAAAACTTTTGCTGATAATTTACTCACCCCCATGTCATCCAAGATGTCCATGTCTTTCTTTCTTCAGTCGAAAAGAAATTAGGGTTTTTGATGAAAACATCCCAGGATTTTTCTCCATATAATGGACTTCAATGGGGTCCAAACGGTTCAAGGTCCAAATGAGAGTTTCAGTGCAGCTTCAAAGGGCTTTAAACGACACTAGACGACGAATAAGGGTCTTATCTAGCGAAACGATCGGTCATTTCAAAATATAAATAAAAAAGTTTAAGTTTTATAAGCACAAAAGGTAGCCTTGCTCTGTTCTGTGACGAACGAATCTTGAACAAATGAACAAATCTTTTTTCGAGTCATTTCGTTCGTTGATCAAAACAAACCATTTTGATGAACGGGTTCGAACAGGAGAGTCACAAATGCGCATCACAGAACAGAGCAAGGCGAGCATTTGTGCTTATGAAACTTAAACTTTTTTTATTTATTATTTAAATGACCGATCGTTTCTCTAGATAAGACCCTTATTCGTCATCTGGTGTCTTTTAAAGCCCTTTGAAGCTGCACTGAAACTCTCATTTGGACCTTGGACCGTTTGGACCCCATTGAAGTCCATTATATGGAGAGAAATCCTGGAATGTTTTCATCAAAAACCTTAATTTCTTTTTCGACTGAAGAACGAAAGACGTGGACATCTTGGATAACATGGGGGTGAGTAAATTATCAGCAAAAGTTTTTTTTTAAAGTGAACTACTCCTTTAATAATGCTTTTTTTATGTTTTATTCACTTTATATTTTTTTTATTTTAAATGAGTAAATAATTTTAAATTCTATAAATGTGTTAAATTGACAGCCCTAGTTTATTTTAACTTATGATGCGTCCTCCATGGCTAAGATACTCGACTGATTCCTCCAGGTCGCTTGAAGTCCGTTCCTGCTCCCTCATCCTCCGCGCTCATGCACTCCGACTCCGACCTGGAGAGTGACGACGGCCAAGCAGGCGTCCCGTGGTCCGATCGAGAGCGTGGAAAACTCCTGCCGCCCCAAAACGGATCTCTGCGCAACGGCCAAGGTCCTCATAAACCCAAAAAACAAAAAGACGAGCTGCTTTAGCACACAGACCCAACCTCTCTCGTATCGCACCAACGCACTGTTCACCCCTCATCCATGACACGTGTCACGACTTTAACTCGGGAGGGAACCTGCGGGACTTCAGGAATGACCTCTGCACCTGCATCTTCGGGTTGAATCGCAGCCCAGTCTGAGCCAAAATGAAAATGCAATTAAACCCGAATGGTCAGATCTGTAGAGCCATGCACCTCAATAGACAATGAGAATGTTCCTGCTTCCCTGCAGAGATTTATGTACTAGCCGAAAGAGTTGAGCATTTTAAAGTAGAAATCTTCCCCGCCAGAATGTCTCATCTCACCGCGGATAACTGAGCCTGCCTCACTGTCCCCTTCCTACGACGCTTCCTGATATGACAGGCAGCCTGTCACATCCAAACACTGCCTGGCATGTCTAATAATTTGTATATTTTTACTTTTGGTAATAATGCAGAGGATGAGTCCTTAGGCGCGCAACAGTGCCATGTATGACTGCATGAGAAGGCAAGATTTGTTTATCCTTGTTTCATGGTTTGCATGTATTTGATTGAGACGTGCGTGTGCTACTCTGCAGTCTTGCCCCTTTAAACACCAGCAAGTGTGACGTCTGCTGCACAATAGCCATGTTTGTCGAGGGTTTCTTTTATTTAATACACTGGAAATTGTATTGGATGTTGCACTGGAGTCTCTTACCCGCTCTGGTTTTGAGGGTGAATATGACAAGATGGGGTCTGACTTACTCAAACCGGAACAGCCGCCAAATAATAAATCATGTTTTGTTACACTTGGCTTGCATTAGTACTGCTTTTTACTCTATTTGGTGATCAGAAATCATCATTTGGTTTTAAAATAGTTTCAGTTCAGCCAAGAATCTTTTCATTTCCAATGTTACGTGGTGGTTTATTATGAAAAGGTTGAATGTTATTTTGATGGTGTATTCGAATGTTTTATTTTTTTATTTTACACCCTACATGTCTGAGTTGCAGATGAGTGCATGGGGAAAATGAAGATTTTTTTTTTTAATCCATGCTTTTTGTTGTTGTTTTTAGTAAAGAATTTCCTGTTTCATGTGACTTGTTCTAATTCAACTGGAGTAAATTAAAACATATATATTTACAGCTGTCTTTTTTGTTATACTTGATTTCTGTCCTTATAATCTCATAATTGTAGACAATTTCTTGTAAACTAAATCACACATGTTTACTGCTTCAAGAGGAGCTTAAAAATCTAATTAGATTCTATGCCTATATTTTTGTTTTTAATTATTGTGATCATAGTGAATGAACACCTAATTTCTATCAATCAACATTTTTTCCGGGGTCTGAAATTTATTTTTTAAAAAGTGTTTATTTACTGACCGATTTTTATTTTGAGATTAACTATTTATTTTGATTTTCATAGGTGTACATAGTGAGGGAAAATAGTTTAAGGTTCCTTGTTTGTAATTATGCTCAGTTTTTACTGCTATATGTAACATGCATAACAAGGACACTGTAAAGGGTTATTAAAATGGTGTTATAACTTTGGAAATTGGTGTTGGAAATGCCCTGGTTTAAAGCACAGGGAGCCAAATATTGAAAACTGTCCTTTTATTACAAGTCAAAGCAGGCACTTGTTAATTCCATGCACAGTTCGTGCAGATCAAAATTGTGACATTCACACTTCCTGTTTTGGCAACAAATATATTAACTGACTCTCATATGTCTCTAACTCTCCAGCAGCTCCACAAATAACTTTAAACCATAGACTGTACAAAATCTAACCATAGACTGCTTCAAACCTGTCAGTAAGCAAGAGTAAAAAATAAGAAAATAAGAACTTTAATTATTACATAATTATGTCACATGTCTTACATGGTAGACTGCGGGAATTCCTTTTATTAATGCTACATAATTACCTAGATTGAGTGAAATCAATATAAACAAAAGTGATATTCGTAATAAATCCAAAGTCTTCCTGTTCCTGTTTCACTCTTCTTCATCACTTTAGCTCTCTCTCTCCTTTGTCCTTATAAGGAAGTGGATCTGTTGGTGGAGTTTGGGCGGAAACGGCGCGCGGTGACAGCTGGGAACTTCAACACGCTCATACAGGAAGACAACGCAGACGGTGAGCCCTAACACACCCATTCAACATCAAAGATTATAGCCAGGACCACTGTAACATTTCTCAGACGGTAAAGGTAAGGAGAAAAGCCTGAATGCATAGTCTCATTGATTAGATATCTTAAGCGACTTGCCGGCGGAAATCGTCTCTGCGCAAATCATGACAACTAAAACGGGCATCGCTCGCGTATAATAATGCTCTCAAAAGCGATACATTCTCACAGTAGCATTATGCCTTGTAAATAAAACGCGAATTTTCATACATTTGCATGTGTGCAGATTTCTTAACTGCATTATAAATGCGTCGGTTGGAAAAGTTCCTGATCTTGCAGAGCTCAGTGATGGAAAGTCCGACTGACTCATCTCTGCGAATCGGATCTTTCGAACAGTTTGTTTCAAGAACCGGTTCAAAAACAATAAAGCGATTCTTTTGCATCATTACGTCATAGTGTTCCAATAAAACGCATTTCTAATGTGTGGATAGTTTTCACAGACTGATTAGGCTTTTTGACAGCATCGTAAATCCTGCAGTTTCTTATATTTTCAATCGTAAAATAAATAAATATTTTAAAAAAACAACTAAATAACCTTGACTGCCGTTATCAATCTCTCTATATCTTTTTCCTCTTTTGAAAGTTGTGAAGACATTATTGGTAACATGTAAAATATTTAATGTAGTCTTTTATTCACCTCTATTTTAAGAAGTTTACCCAAATATGACTACTACTGCTTCTGAGAAACCCGGAAATGTGAAAATTGTCAATCAAGGTGTAAACATCAATAGGCTACGTTTTATTTGTAACATTTCTAGTATTCACCTGCATCGTGTCACAGATCATTCATTATTATCGGTTGTAGGTGGTGAGATGTTGATTAGAAAACCGTTTGACAGTTGATTCAGTTCCATTAAAAATTCGGTTCAACTGATTCACTGAAAAGATCCGATTCAAAAGAACACCGAAAATCGCTACAGTGTAAATGTAGGAAGTGAGCGGATGTAAAGGGCAGGAAATATGAACACAAGCCCGTCGCGAGTCGCGATCGCTAAATTGTTTCCGTCTTCATATAATTATCCATAAACATTAGCTCAGTATTGTCTGACTGACCGCTCGACCGTGTTGTACCGGCTGGCCTGATTATTCAGTCAAGTCAAATCACATCAAATCTCTTGGCTTGTCTCTTGCTTCGTGTCCTATTGCAATCATATTAATGCTCGATTGCTGGTCAAAAAAACAAAACAAAACAAAAAAACACTAGACTATGGTCGTGTGTGTTTATAGTAAATGGCACATCTCATGCGCTGTGCCGAGAATGGATGTCATATGGCCTAGTTTTACTAGTCCTGAAGCATAAATGACCTGTTTATGTCCAGAAGAGCAGTTTACACGCATATTCTTGACGTTTTAGTCTTGTCTTTGAATTTACTGTAGTTTTTTCTTATCTTGTTTTGATATGTTTACCTTAAGGGTGTCACCTACCTAATTTAAATCTCAATTGAAGCACAGCAGCTATTGCTTTAAGTCATAATAAGCTGGGTTTGAAATTAAAGGAATACTTCAGCATTTTCTCATTCTCTTTTTCTTCTTCTGCTGAACACAAATGAAGATATTTTGAAGAATGTTTGTAACCATTAACATACATATAGCCTACTAAAGAGGAAAAAATACTACAGAAGTCAGTGGGGGCCCATCAACTGTTTTGGGTGAACTATCACTTTAATTTAATAAAGATTTTATAATTTAATGATTTAATAAACCAGATTATCAAAATTACTGCTTAGATTTAAGTATATTTTTTATTTCTGATGTTTTTGTGTTTGCTTGTAAAAGTTCTGAAAGGCTGATAACTTACTCTTGTAGTTGCCTGGTGAGTGAAAGTTAAATTTCAAACTGTGATTTATAAATTATAGTTAAGATCATTATTTCCCACATCTGTATGTTGCAGTTTCTGCAGTAATCGTTGGCTTCCCCTCAGTCTGGTTTTTAGGGTGAGGACACTAGGAATTGGTCTGAGCCTGAGGCAATGAAATTTGACTGCTCTAATTTGAATGTAAATATTTTCTTACAATGTGGAGAGAGAAAAAAAGTTAGAAAAAGAAAATTTGACTCTAGTTTGACTCCAGTCTGCTCGTTGACTCGTGCCATAATTATTATATTTGGCAAATTCTGCTTTGCTCATGTGCTGTGATTTAAATGTTTTTCCTGAAAAAAGCCACAGCTGATTGTGGCAACAGAGGAATCCGTTATTATTATTATTATTATTAGAGTAATGTTGACTAACTTACTCAAATTAAGTGTATTATTACAGCTTTCATATTGTATTTTCTGTACCAGGGCCATTTAATGTATCAGACATGAACCTGCTCACCTGTAATAGTTTAGTATTAGTTATAATGCAGTCTTGGGAAATGTGTGATTCCTGAAGGAGTTACAAAATTACCCTCAGGATTCGGTGCATGCTCTCATTAGAAGCAGGTGCTCATATACAGATACCTGTGCGCTTCCCAGAAGAGTGTTCAGGTGAAAGGGGGAGTGAGTCAGTGAGCCAGATTCGTGTATCAGGTTTCTGTTACGTAATGTTACCTGTTTAGTGTGTGTGTGTGCATGTGAAGGGGCAGTAAAAAGGGACTTGCCCTTTGAAGTTGCCCAGAGAAGGCAAATAAGATCTACTTCCTACTTTTTGTGTGTATCTTAGAGGTTTGGCTAAAGTTTTTCCTTAATTACAGATTTTTTTCTTCCTGTTGCATTCTTGCGCGACGACATGTTATGGCACGTCCTGCGTTCTCTCCGGGCTCGGCACATTGTGCATCTATTTGTTCACTTGTTGTGTGCTCTGCCACTGATGCTCTTTGTTGAATTTACTATAAATGAGAATAAATAAAATGCTGAAGTCAGAATACAAGAAGAGTCTTGAAAATTAGCATGAAATGAAAATTCACCCCAGTTTCTTATTGTGAGCAATGCATCCATTCGTTTACTTTTTTTTTTTTTTTTTTTTTTTTACTGGCCTGCCACAATCGTTTATGGCATTTACAGTGTAAGCCTAATACTTTTTTACGTTGTTTTACTTGAAGTACACAAAGATAGTCAAAGGTTCATGTGATTTCATGTATATATGTATGCATGCATTTATTTATTTATTTATTTTTTGGCAGAATGTGATTTGAAATTTAAATGGCACAATTTGATCAAATAACAGTCGACAGGTCAATTTTTTTAAATTTTAGCTCATAATCTCATTCAAAATCGAACCTTGATCTTCTGGTGTAACCAATGATTTTGTCCACTTAACCCCCACCCTTTCTTATAATCAACTGCAAGCTTTCATTCAGATCTGCCTCCATCCAATCAACAACTGACGGTGTTATTTTGTGATTATTCAGAATAAACATTACAGAAGAAAAGATTTGTCCATTTAATTTATTCTGTTTCATTCTCTCAGTGAGCAGGTATGGCAGAGCTGGCGGGTCTAGTGCAGCGTTTGGAGTTGGCTGTGGGCCGTCTGGAGTCCATGTCTGGGGGAGGAGGTGGAGTGAGCAGCCCTGCAGCTGGATCTGGAGGTAATAAGGGCCTAATGTAAACCATTTCTGTCTGAAGATAATCATTGCCGCTCAGCCAGTGTGCTCTTGGAGTTAAAAATTTGAAGTTAAGTATTAAACTTAGCTGCTAAATTGTCTGCATCACCTCCAATAATGCAGCTCGTTGAAGATGTGCTGTTACGTCAAAAAATATTTCAATTGGGCTTGCAAAATTTGGTGTGCTGATCATGAAAGTCTTGTTGCTGAAAGTCTTGTATTGTGCCTTGTTAGAACATGGTGTAATTTCCTCTCGTTTCTCTTCTCCTCAGCGGTGTCGGCGTATGTTGAAGCCTATGACGGTTTGATCTCTGGCCCTGTGGCTCAGTACGCTGCCCTTAGTCAGAAGATCGGGGGAGATGTTCAGAAGCATGTATGTAATCCTGCACTGTCATTATAGTTCCTGAACACTGGCACACATTGATAACGAGTCCACGCATTGTTCCTT